AACTTACAGGAGTTCACCACCGTATGGTACTGACTAGGAAAGAAACGTACGCGTGCACATAAAACAAGGTTATGGAAAAGGAAAAATAAAAATGAAAATGTTTGTACCTTCAGTACATTTAGACGGTGCTCATGTACAAATAAAAGAGAAAAATGAATAAATATTATAGCTCTATAAATGTTATAAATAACTATAATATGATATGCATATATGACTGAAATGAATGAAATAAAGATAAGAAAGGGAAATAAATAAGAAGAATATTAAGAGTTATACGTAATGAATATTTTATTTCATGTTAATTATTTTAACAGTTACCCACTGAGCTTACTTTGTAAGCTCATTCCATTAAATAAATGTTTCAGGTAAGGTACTAAGAATTTGAGATGGCAGAAAGAGAAGAATTTGTTTATAGAAGACGACGCAATACTGAAAACAGGTAAATTATGATATTTACAAATGTTAAGTATTTAAGAATTTTGTTAGTCACTCTTTAGATAAAAAAAGAGAAAATTTGATGTTTTAAATGTTGAATTACTTGTGAATTAAAATATTTTGATCATACCATCCGACTTTCGTTCCTGCCTCATTAAGTCGAGCATCGAGACCAGGTCGTGACAAATCGACCCTTTCTTCTTTGAAACATCTACAATTACCACTTTCCATGTTCTTTCATTTCCACGTTGGAAGTCATATGGGTATATCATTATAACCTAAGGCATCCTTCTTTCAAAACTCTATAATATATATTTTCTTCTTTTTTATGAATGAAAATAATGAAAAAATTTATTTTGAAACTTGTAAAATTAGTAATCATCATCATGTTGTTCTTTTTAAAGTGATTATAGATCCATTACTCATTTCCTAATAGTTCACTCTGACATTAAGAGACCTAAAATCTCCAATAGCGACAGGATTTTTCACCTTCATTGATGATTGCAATCAAATGATATGGGTATATCTTATCAAACAAAAACCTTAAATCAGTATTATTCTCCCAATTTTTACAGTCATACAAAAACAATTCAATACTAACATGCTTGGTTGCGAAGCAAGTATTTCAGTCAATAGTATACCTAATCCTCATTTTAAACCTAATCAACTTCTATTTATTTTCAACACAATCCAGTTAACTCATTACGTCTCACTAACAAATGATATCTTAAGCAACCCTTTATAATAGAAAGCTTCCTAAAAAAAGCAATTTTCCCTACTTTACACAACAATCGGATCAAAGTATGGCATGCCACTTGCGGATGACATCCTAGCTAATTGTTCATTGGTTTGCACCACAATTGTGTTAAGTTGTGGTGAATCATTTATGATGGGGATCCTCGCAAACCCTTGCATATTTCTCCACATAATCGACTTAGATCATGGAGCATAGCTTTATGGGGAACCTAGAAGTACAAAAAAACTAAATTTGAAATTCATTTCATTAATTTTGAAATAAATTTTACTGTTGAATGTTGATTTAATATCAACCATCAACTTTTTTATCCAAAGTTGGAATCAATAATGATGTTTTAATTTCCTCCTACAACTTATATAGTTGCATGGAAAACATCAGCAACAACCACCAGATTAGATCAAGTGTTGGCTCAAGAAAAATGGTACGAATGCACGAATCCCGCTTTGCAGCCGTAGGATTCCACTTACCTTAAGTCAGATTAAAATTAACCAGATTTCCCCTGAGGGTAGTGTCAGGGTTTATAGATCTGGGGTTCTTACTTCCTATGAGCGCAAGCGCCCATAGTTAATTACCCCTCTTACAACGTAAGAGAGAACTCTCGATTAAGGATGAAATAAATTTTAGTTAATTTTAGTCTCAATAGTAGGGGAAATGGAGGTAAACCCGATCAAGATCCCATGGTTCCGTCGTCCCGGGTATACCATAGATTTCAGTCTACCAACACTAGCAATCATTGACCGTAGTGTCCAGGGAATCTGATTAGCAGCCATGGGTTGCCTCCTCTCAGGGATCCCGAGTAGACTGAAGTGGTTAGATGTGGATTTTAATTTGATTTAATTTGGGTTGGGGCTTATGGCTTCCTTAGAAGTTGCCCGTTAATTTGTTTAGTTTGGGGCTTACGGCTCCAATTAGGA